AATAATATGTTTTATTATACTTAATTAGGATCTTAATAACCTGGAACTATGACAACAACCACTGAATAATGTTTTATTATACTTAATTAGGATCTTAATAACCTGGAACTATGACAACAACCACTGAATAATATGTTTTATTATACTTAATTAGGATCTTAATAACCTGGAACTATGACAACAACCACTGAATAATATGTTTTATTATACTTAATTAGGATCTTAATAACCTGGAACTATGATAACAACAACTGAATAATAATATTTTATGATACTTAACTAGGAAAGCTCTCCAAGAAATATTAGGCCAAATATCTTTAACGTCCACCATTCTTTGTGAAAATGCCGAAATGGGAGTCTCTTACGCCATTTTACCAATTTGGGCTGTCCTGCTGTCTTTTATCAACATAGTTCTTCAATTGGTGGCGCTACCATCCAGCTATTGGGCAAATTTCGAAGCACGTGGTGACCTAGGTAAGTTTTGTTTTTCATATATGTGACTTTTTTTTTGCAATTTCGCGTTATTTACGTTTTAGTCAAATTTACAGTACTTTCGAATATCATATTCGATTTTTTCTAGCTTAAAATATACGCACTATTACTAATGAATAGTTTGTTTGAGAACTGTGACATCTCGTAAAATAGTACCAACATTCTGGTGTGTAATTTATACAATGAAACCATAAATGACCTACATTGGCCACATTTATCTCAGAAACTTAATCTTAGAAACAGCTTGAAAGCGATACCAATAATGTCAAGATCTCAATTGTTGAGTGAACATCTTTTGTGTGCAGTTCTTAACTTGTAAGATGATCTACAAATTATATGATATATCTTTTCCTTTTTTTTTTCTATTAATGTAACCAAAGTTTTGATACAAAAATGAGCCCATTTTGAACGTAATGATAGCTTGTATGAGGTATCGTCAAATGTTATGTTGGTCTAACATTATTGACATTATTAGCAAATAATGAGCAATGTTTATCGTGTCAAGAAAATAAAAACTTGTGTTAAAACAACACAACCATCTTCGGCTAACAAAACACAGCACAAATATGTTGGCTGATGTATAATTTTTGTGTTGAACTTTATACAATCTACATAAAAATAATAAAAATTTGACATCAAAATACAATGTATTTAATTAAATAAATAATTCTGAATTGAAAACCGCACGGCATTTCTGCTATTAGAAAACACAACTTCTGTGACTATATCGCTACATTAGTCACTTGTGTTATAGTACACACGTTTTTGTATTTGGGAAACATAATTTGTGTTCTTCTGTAAAGACATGTTTCTGTTAATTTACAACTTCTTTCAGTGTACATATTATATTTAAAGAATGTATTATTCTTTCATAAAAGTTGGAAATTCATTTCTCTTCGCCGCTTTAGTAGAAATCACAGTGGGCGTGGCCTAAGGATTAGTGTGTTCCGACTGAGAATCCGAGGATTCGTGGTTCGCGACCCGTTACTGCAAAATCGCGCTCCTCTCTTTGGAACCGTGTGTGCGCTATAAGAGTGACACTCAAATCCAACTATTCAGTCAGACGATAGCAGCCTAAGAGTTGGCGGTGGGTGCTGTTGACTAGTTGCCTTCCATTTAGTCAGTTTAGAATTAAGGACAATCGTACTTTTAACTAGTTTTGAAGATTTGCGCGAAAAATCTGAAACAGATAATTCAGTTTTATTGTTACAACGTTTTGTCATTTACTTAAAGTAGTTATCGGTTGTGAATTATTATTATTGTGTTTTCAGTTGATATAATTACAAACAGTTTTATTATGGTTATCGGTCATCACTTATTACTTTAAGATATAGAAATTTGACAGGATTTTTACCACGTAATAAAAAATATATATGCAAAGACTAGAAAACCTAATCGGTACTTTGCAGATGGAAAATAACTGGCGACTACGACTCCGTTACACGTTGCCCCCCAGTGGCACAGCGGTATGTCTGAGGACTTACAACGCTAGAATCTGGGTTTCGATACCCGTGGTGGGCAGAGCACAGATAGCCCATTGTGTAGCTTTGTGCTTAATTACAAAACAAACAAACCGTTACACGTTAACAATCGGTAACTAAGAGGCCATTACAAGCACGTAACCAGGAAAAAACAGAAAAATACTGATTTTTAAATATAAACTATTTTGTATTGTCAGTGAACACAATGAGGAGTGAAGAGGAATCAGACCGGAAGAAAGAGATACATTACAATCTAAAAGTAATAAAGAGGACATTACAAACTGAGACCAAAGACTTTGGTCTAAACAGAGGTTTTCAAATTGGAGGGGGGGGGGGTTCTTGTAAAGATGCAGGGAAAAAGTTAGCTCAGAAATCTACTGGAATGACTAATGCGATTATACTAAAACTGATACAGACAGTAGGTCCAACCACAACTTATTTAGACACATGTGACACATTTATGCTTGTTTCATCATTGCTCAGTGAGGCAGGGGGTGGGTGGTCGCGATTAAACAAGTTTGAAAACCACTGGTGTCAATTATGGCTATGGAAGGTTAAAATAGTTTGTTTGTAGGATCCACTGTTAACGAACATGCCATCATCTAGTTCGTGCTGTATTTGACTGACTTTTCCCCACTGTTAACGAATATGCCATCATCTAGTCCTTACTATATCTGACTAACTTTTCTCCCACTGTTAACGAACATGCCATCATCTAGTTCGTGCTATAGCTGACTGACTTTTTCTCACTGGTAACGAACATGCTATCATCTAATTCGTACTGCATCTGACTGACTTGTCTTGTACACATTCAATGTTGTTCTTAATTCGAATCAGTATACATGTAAATTATTCTTTTTTAAAAATCAGTTAAGCCTAGTTTCCCACTTAATGATGAGCTCTCGAAGGGTTTAAAAGTATGCGGTTAAATGAAACATCCAGTGGGTTTGCACCCAAAGTTGTTCAAACTGTGAGGAAAGTATGAAAATTAGCACACTTGTTGATTTTTATATGGAGATTCATATAAAAGGAAGTCCCATCACAGATCTCACTTCAGTCATCCGCTTGCAATATGGCCGCTATCAAAAACCAGCATTACTCAAATTATGTGCTTCAAATAGAAATAGAAGTGTCACGTGAATATATAGAATTTGGCATACATGTATATTTTCATATGTAAATTCATGTAAAAACAAGAATCATCGCAGATCTGGTCCTAAACAGCCGCCATATTGGGTTCTATCACGGCCACCATCGAAAACCAGCATGACTATATTATTTTGATGTTCATAGAAGTATCACCTAAATGTTTAAACACATGTTGTCTTGGCCAGGACGTTTGGTTTTAACGATTAAATAAATATATAAGCCATTTTATTTTTAAAACACTGTTAACCATTACTAGTTTGTTACTGCATCCGAAAATCAAGTGTACAACAGCAAAACCGTGAACAAAAAAAAATTATTGTTATTTATTTTTTATCTTTTTAAGTTTTAATTATGTGATTATTTCTACATTTAAAAGAATAAATTACTTTGAAACCCATAATTCATGTCATTAATACACTTAAAAGGGCACTAAATATGTGGTTACTTAAACATGCTTCAATAATATTTTTTTAATGTAGGAAGATGCCTTTTGAGATTTTATTGCCATGTGATGAAATCTTTCATCGGGATTCACAATGCTTTCTGTACTGTAAAGTGTTTTATATGTTAATAATCAATCGCCATATTGAAACTATAAACCTTTTTACGCAAAACTAAATGTTATAAACAAACTCTATGACCAGGAAGGTGTGGTTTTATGTATTAAGACAACATTTGAATGTAAATTGAAAGCGTAAATTTGCACAAAACTGATATTTTTCAATGGTGTCCATGTTGGAATTCAATAAAGCTGCTGCTTGTGGAAAAAAAAAGCTGCGATAATTCCTCTTTTACACGAATCTCCATACGAAAATCTATTTGCCTGACAAATATTAGTTATTTAGATGAGATTTCTGTGAGCATTTAAAGTGTATAGTTGAGTAATAGTGGTTTTTGATGTCTGCCATATTGGAATAAGAGATGGCTGTTGTTTAGGGCAAGATATGAGATGGTTCATGGTTTTATAGGAAGTTCAATATAGATTCGAATAGAATTTATTATTTAAATCATTTGGAGCTTTGTACAGTCTGTTTCGGTTTGTGTCTCAGTGAACGCTTTAAATAAATTGTAAAGCGAAATGTTGAGTGTCTAATTAAATAAAAACAACATTTTGGTGTTGTAAAGTCGTTTATTTCTGGTATTAATAGTGTTGTATTATTGTTGGGTATTTACGTCAGTTATGTAACGTTAAATGTTTTATGTTGTTTATCTTGTACTCCTTTGAAGGGCTGTTATATTTGTGTATATTTTAAATATTTTCTTTTTGTTTACGCGTGCTTCAGCGAAGCATTTTTTACACCCAATTTATTATGTATTTTTTTATGCCTAATGAGGTATTTTGTTAGCTAAGGCCTGATCTGTCATAACAAATGTTTTTGGTCACAATCATTTGTACATATCTTTATAACTGTATCATCGTGTAGAACCATCGAAATAAACGTAAAATATATTTTGCAAATATACACGATATAAAAATGAGTGTTTTTGATACTACCAGGAAGGCCCGGCATGGCCAGGTGGTTAAGGCACTCGACTCGCAATCTGAGGGTCGCGGGTTCGAATCCCCGTCACACCAAACATGCTCGCCCTTTCAGCCGTGGGGGCGTTATAATGTGACGGTCAATCCCACTATTCGTTGATAAAAGAGTAGCCCAAGAGTTGGCGGTGGGTGGTGATGACTAGCTGCCTTCCTTCTAGTCTTACACTGCTAAATTAGGAACGGCTAGCGCAGATAGCCCTCGTGTAGCTTTGCGTGAAATTCAAAAACAAACAAACTACCAGGAAACCCAAAGGAGAAAAACATCGCATTATTAGGTTTGTTTGTTTTAAGCGTAAAGCTACATTGGGAGTTATCTGTTCTGTGCCAACCATGGGTATCGAAACTCAGTTTTTAGCGTTATAAGTCTCCAGACTTACCGCAGAGCCACTGGGGAGCTGGTACATTCTACTTGTGCGTCTGTGCCTTAATCATTTCACTAAGATACCCAGGAATTTTACACGTGGTTAAAACTAATAAAATGTCTGTTATTTTCCTCAGTCTTTTACCAAAATTTCAGGATCAGTAACGATTATATTAGGTCGTCAAGAAATTAATGTCGCTTTTTTAGATGAAAAACCCGAACAACTTATATAACAAAACATTTATTAAATGAAATGGTCTCCATTCTTATCGATGATACTTTTCCATTTTACAATCAGATTGTTAATGTCCTGATTAAAGAAATTACTTGGCTTTGA